AGAAATAAAGCGAACAATGTTGAGATCTGTAGCGGGTCAGATAGCTTCACCCATATAATTAAAAAAAATCAAATGTGCCCCCTAAGAGGAAGTACAGGTTCTCATGAGATTAAACCCAGAGGCAAAACAGCTTCGGTGCTGGAACAAGGTGGTCACCAGCAATTCTGTGTCCAGAGTTTCCCACCTTGCCGCTCCTGCCACCGAAGCTGGTGGCTACAGCTTCAGGGTCACGTCCTCACGCAGCAGCCTCGGGAGCTGGAAGGGAACTCTGTCCTTTCTTTCTCTCCTCCCTGTCCCGTGCTGGAACCTCCATTTTTGTTTGGTAACAGCTTTATAAAGGTATTACTAAAATATAATAAGTGAAGTTCTCCCACTTAACTCAAAGGTTTTTGTTTGTTTTACCTAGTTCACGTAGTTTTGCAGCTGTAACCATCAATTTTAGGGCATTTTATTTTATTTATATTCAGATTTTGGGGGGGACACCCAGCAATGCTTGGGTCTCATTTTTGGCTCTGTAGTCAGGAGTCACTCCTGGTGGTTCGGGTGGGGTGGGGGGCGGGGAGGAAACATATGTGGTACCAGGAATCAAACCAGGGTTGTCTGCCTGCAGGGTAAATGCTGTAACCCCTATACTCTCTCTCTCTCTCTCTCTCTAATCCAGTTTTAGAGCATTTAAACCCCTAACAGAAGTCCCATAACCTTTCAGGCATCACTCCTTGACCCTGCTTATACACTCTGCTCTTAGTTTGAACTAATCACTTGCTTATTTTCTGTCTCTGTATATTTGGTACTGTAGCACTGTAGCACTGTCCTCCTGTTGTTCATCGATTTGCTCAAGCGGGCCCAGTAACGTCTCCATTGTGAGACTTGTTGTTACTGTGTTTGGCATATCGAATACATCACGGGGTGCTTGCCAGGCTTTGCCGTGCGGGCGAGATACTCTCGGTAGCTTGCCAGACTCTCCGAAAGGGGCAAAGGAATCAAACTCAGGCTGGCCCAGTCGGCCGCGTGCAAGGCAAACACTTTACCCACTGAGCTATCACTACATATCATACAAATGCAACCATATGATTTCTGATCTTTCTGTGATTGACTTGTTTTATGTAGCATAATGTTTTCAAGGGTCAAGCTTAATGTTTGCTCGTTTCTTCTAAAGAAAAACAGTATTCCATTGCCTACGTATACTATGACTACATTTACCCATCAGTCTGTTAAAGGACGTTTGAGGTGTTTCCACCTTTCATTTTTTTGTGAACATTCTTTTGACTCGAAGAACACTTGCATACAAATTTTTGTATTTTCTGGTTTCATAGATTTTTTTTAAATAATGTAGGAGTACTGCTATTTATCCAGTCATTGATTAAGCTGATAGAATTAGGCATGAACTCCACATTACTTTTTCTTTTTTTATTCAGAATGTTAATTTTATTATTTTATTATTATTTCACCCCACCCCTTTTTTTTTGATTCACCGTGAGCTACAGTTACAAAGATTTCATGTTTGAGCTTCGGTCATACAATCATCAAACACCCATCCCTTCACCAGTGCACATTTTCCACCACCCAAATCCTCAGTATCCCCCCACCCCCATCCCTGTTCCAATCCTTCCCCTGCCTGTGTGGCAGACAATTTTTATACCGACCTGTGGGACTGCTGGGTTAAATAGTATTAATGTTTAACTTTTTGAAGAATTACCAGGTTGTTTTCCAAAAGAGCTGTACCATTGTACACACCACCCACAATGACATTCTACTTTCTTCACATTCTCAGAAACACTTGTTATTGTCAGACCTTTTTCTTCAGCCATCCCCGTGATCTGAAATGGGGTCTCATTGTAGTTTGGGTTTACATTTCCCTAATGACTAATGATGTTGAGCAACTATTTGTATGCTTATAGTCATTTGTGTGTCTTCTTTGGGAAAAAAATGACTGGACTGATCCTTTGCCCCTTTTTAAGTAGGACTGTCTTTCTTTTTATTATTGGATAGTAAAACTCTTCATGTATATTCTAGATATGTCTTATCAGGTAAATGATTTGCAAACATTATCCTCTTTTGTGGATTTTTTTTCCACTTTCTTCATGATGTCTTTTGAAGAAAGTCAAAACAAAACCAGAAATTTTTGTTTTGGTGAAATTCCACTTACCTTTTTCCCTTTGGTTATTTTTGCTTTTGATATCAAATCTAAGAAACAGTTGTCTAATCCAAAATCCCTATTTTAATCCCTTTGCTTTCTCCTAAAAATTTGAGATGTGGTCTTTTACATTAAGGACTTTGCTCAGTCTTAAACTATTTATTGTTTGTGATTTGAAGTGTAAGTAATCCTGTTTCATTCTTTTACACATCATGTTTTACTGGTCCTAAGACCTTTTTTTTTTTCTTTTTGGGTCACACCTGGCAATGCTCAGGGGTCACTCCTGGTTCTGCACTCAGGAATCAATCCTGGCGGTGTTCAGGGGACCATATGGGATGCTGGGAATTGAACCCGGGTCAGCGCATGCAAGGCAAATGCCCTACCCGCTGTGCTATTGCTCCAGCCCCCTAAGACCATTTATTAAAAAGATCATTCTTTCCTTATTGAATTGAAATGTCACTTGTTGAAAGTCAATTAACCTTATGTACATAGATTTGTTTCTGTACTCCTATATTTTTTGTTCTAAATATCTAAATATCAGACAGAGATTCTTGGACTAGAGTGGTAGTACATCAGATAGATCACATACATGCCTTGCTCATGACTGACTGGGTTTAATCCCCAAAATCCGATATGGTCCCCTGAGGAGTGATCCCTGAGCACAGAGTCAAGAATAAGATCAAAGCACCACTGACTGTAAACAAAAACTGAAACAAAATTAAAAACCAGATATAGAGATTCCCTATATTTATTCTATTCCACACATCTATCCTTATATTAGTACTGCACTACTTTGATTTTAGTTACCTTGTAAGTTTTCTTGGAAATAAATGTGACTCTTCAACTTAGATCTTCTTATTTAAACTTGTGAATATTCTGAGTTCCTTGGATTTCCATAGAAATTTTAGCATCAGCTTGTCAATTTCTACAAAAAGAAGCCAGCATAAAATTTAAAATAGTAGTAAGAATAATAATAATAACTTTTTGAAGTCATCTTATCTGGGGTTCTGATAAGGTAAAGGTAAGGTAAAGGCCCTCCCGTTGATCGTCGATTTGCTCGAGCGGGCCCAGTAACGTCTCCATTGGAGACTTTGTTGTTACTGTGTCTGGCATATCGAATACTCTCGGTAGCTTGCCGGGCTCTCCGAGAGGGGCGGAGGAATCGAACTCGGGTCGGCCATGTTGGCCGCGTGTAAGGCGAACGCCCTACCCGCTGTGCTATCGCTCCAGCCCTGGGGGTTCTGATAGGACTTATATTTAAAATGTAAGGGCCAGAGAGATAGTACAGCAGTAAAGTACTTGTCTTGCATATGGCACACATGGGTGTGATTCCCTGGAGTGACATATGGTACCCTGAGCACAGTGAGTGTGGCCCCTCCAAATAAAACAAAGCAAAAACTATACATCAAGTTTCCTTCATACTAAGTTTCTCGTTCATCAGTGTAGGCTAGCTTCCATTTATCTTCATCTTTAAAATTTCTTTCCAGTGTTTTATAATCAGAAGGTTTGCTTGACTTCATTTGTTTAATGTCTTTCTAAATATTTAATTTCTGATTGTTTTGTAGATGAAGTGTTTTAATTTTACTTTCAGGTTGTTTATTGCCGATGTATAGAATTTACAGTGATTGCTGTACAAAGCCATGTATCCTGCAAACTTCTCGAAATCATTTATTCATTCTGCCCACAAAAAAAAAAATCTTTTTAAGCAACTTCTGGTCACTCTCTGCAAAACTTCAGAGTAGAATGGGTGCAGAGTAGATATGGGTATAGGACTGGAAACTGCTCTTCTGTGCCTCGGTGGACTTTTTGCCTTCCAGACAGTAGTTCCCTCCAGCCTCTGTTTCCTCTGTTTGGACAAATGCTCTGTCCCACTGCCACTTAGAAGTAGGTAAAGAAAGGAGCCGGGGAGATAGTACAGCAGGTGGGGCGCTTGCCTTGCACACATCATACCCAGGTTCAATCTCCATCACCCCATATGGTCCCCCAAGCCATGACAGGAGTGATCACTTAGCACAGAGTCAGTAGTAAGCCCTGAACCCTACTAGGTACGGCTTTAAGACAAAATTTTTTTTTTAAAAGAAGATACAGAAGATAGCATTTGGCTTCATTATTTTGTGAAAAGATTGGTATTCAAGTATTCACTGTCAGTGGGGAGAAGAGAAGGTGATACCAAGAAGTTTGGGGGTTGGTTGTTGTGTCTTTTCATTTGGAGCCACAATTGGAGGAGTCACTAACAGCTTAGTGTTCAGTGATTGCTCCTGGTGGTGCTGGGGGGAACCACAAGATGCTCATCCTGCTTGAAAGTCTAAACTCCACCTTGAGCTGTCTTTTCAGCCTGTTTCATTCTTTTTTAAAAAATTTCTGTTTATGGGGCTGGAGCAATAGCACAGCGGGTAGGGTGTTTGCCTTACACACGGCCAACCCGGGTTCGATTCCCAGCATCCCATATGGTCCCCTGAGCACCGCCAAGGGTAATTCCTGAGCACAGAGCCAGGAGTAACCCCTGTGCATTGCCGGGTGTGACCCAAAAAGCAAAAAAAAAAAAATCCTGTTTGTGATATTGGTGCTACAAAATAAAAGTCTTGGGGCCAGAGCAATAATACAGTGGGGAAGGTGCTTACCTTGCATGCAGCCAACTGGGTTCTATCCCTAACATTCCATATGGTCCTCCTAATAACTTCTAAGCACTGTCGGGTTTGGCCCCAAAACAATAAACAAACAAAATTTTTTTTTCAAAAATGAAAGTCTTTTTCATCCCCATCTCCTTAAGAAATAATGTCATTTGTGCATTCCTCAGATAAAAATGATGTGCCAGGGTTTTCTGCTTCAAAAACGATCTCTCTTCTCGTTTCTCCCACCCGCACAGCATATTCCTCTGCAGACATTATTGAAGTTCATGGTGGACATTGCCCAGGGGATGGAGTATCTGAGCAACAGGAACTTCCTCCACCGAGATTTAGCTGCTCGAAACTGCATGTAAGAATCCTGACTCATGCTGGGATGGATGGGTCTACTAGTGTCTGGGATCTGGGGAATAGAAATAAAATAGAAATATGAAAACTTTGAGGAGAGCTAGGTTTGGTGGGGCGGTAGGACCGACTGTGATGATGACTTTGTCTGGTGGATGTATGACTGGCTTTGACTTAGGGGATTTCAGGAGCCCTGGATTTTTGAGTCTGGTATCTTCAAACCTTTATCCTGTAATTACATCTTATTTCAATGCTCTCATGTCCCAAGGAGTACTGGGTCTCAGCCTTGTGACCTTTCACCACAACTCTTAGCTAACCAGAACCCAGAATTGTATGAATGTCAGTGCATTACAAAAAGAACCACAAAACTCACAAAGATTTTGTCCACACTGGTTTTATGTCCTAATGCTACCTTTAAAGTGGTTTGGGGGCTGTGGTCACCCTGAATCCTTTCTTGTACCACAGGGGTGAGAACTTACCAAATCACTTTGACCTTAAGTCTCTTAGTCTCTTCAACCTGCTTCATCAGGACCAGTACCTATTGTGAATCTTCACAAACAGTATATAGTTATTTTGGTTTGGTTTGGTTATGTTTTGAACCCAAGTCAACCTTATGCAAGGAAAACATCTTTAGTCCTATACCATCTCTTCAGCCTCAATATCTAACTTTGGGTTTTTGTATAGTCCCTGCCTCTCCTCATCTTTCTTGTCAAGGGTCTATTGGGTTTGGGTTTGGGTTTGGGTTTGGGTTTGGGGGCCAATCCCGGCAGTGCTCACAGCTTACTCTTAGCGCTGCTGGTGGGGCTCAAGGGACCTTATGGGGTACTAGCAATCAAACCCAGGTCGGTCACATAGGAGGCAAGTTCCCTGCCCACAGTACTCTCTCGAGCTCCCCTAATTCTTGATTGTAAGTTTGCAATGGCAAGAAGACAGTGTTCCCTGAACATATTGCTCAACTTTGGTTTTTTTCTTGTTGATAGGACTAGGGAATTTTCCCCTTCATTGCTCCAAACCAGCCTGTCTGCTAGTCTTCTATCATTTTCACATCATTTTTAAAACCCAGAGGATTTTGGTTTTGGTTTATGGGTCACACCCAGCAGTGCTCAGGACTTACTCCTGGCTCTGTGCTCAGGGATCACTCCTGGTGTGACTCTGCAGTAGCAGGGATCCAATGAAGGTAGGCTAAATGCATAGCAAGTGCCATAACTCTCTGTCCTAACAACTCTGCCTCTGTTTTTATTTTTATTTAAATTGTTTTTCTAGAGTGGAGATACAATCATGAAAATCTTTTGTTTCCCTTTAATATTTTCTTCCTATTTTTCTATTAAGTGGGCATCTGAATTGAGGGGCCCCCAGGACAAGGACTTTGAGGCAATCTTTGAGGCAGACAGCTTCAAGGATACTTGCTTCAATTTTTTTTCCGTTGGGATTTTTTAAGATTCTCCCATATTACTGGCATAACCAGAAAAGAGGGGAATCAAAGACAAAGTAATCAGTGCTCACTTAGCATGATTCATGCATTCCAGGAATCGGGATGTGTTCATGGGAAAGGCATGGCAGTCCCCCACCATGTTAAGTTACCTTCTTACAGAGGACTCAGGTGGTCTACACTAGGGTTACATTTTCCTCCCTGCCTCTCCTCCTCATCTTTCTTGTCTAAGGTCTATTAAAGCATTTGGCTTAGGAATGCTTCTGTCTCCCTTGAATTCTCCGGTGAACTCCAGGAGTCCCACTGACCATGTCCACAGACACTGAGAGTCCCTGATAGCATGTGTGTTTCTTCCCCTCTCCAAACTTTTCTGAGGCTCACTCAGCTGAGTCGTGCAAATGAGACAGCAGGCCGGAAGGCCACTGGCATCTTCACAGAGGAGTCTGGTTCTGCCACTCCTCCTGCTCCTGTACCTTACTTTCTTCCAAGTACCCTATTGTCTGGTAATCGGCGTCATTGCTGGCCAAGATCCCCACACAGAGCAGATGCACGTTAGAGCTGCCCGGGTTCCCTCTTCTTGTCCTGTGACTGCTCCCGGAGCAGCACCCTCAGGGGCAGGTGGAGTCTCTGTTTTAGGAACAGATCGTCAACGTTTCCTGCTCTGTCTCAGGCTCACCTTACCATTTAGAGCTTTGCACCTGAGATCATGAGGATGTCAACTTTCTCTCTGTAGGTTGCGAGATGATATGACCGTCTGTGTCGCCGACTTTGGCCTTTCCAAGAAGATTTACAGTGGTGACTACTACCGCCAAGGCCGCATCGCCAAGATGCCTGTGAAGTGGATTGCCATCGAAAGTCTTGCAGACCGAGTCTACACCAGTAAAAGCGATGTGGTACATACACAGTTTTGATTTGGGGGTGGGGGGGCACACGTGGCAAAAATGAAGGCATACTGAACCGAGTGACTGGTGGCATAGACATTTTACTTTGATAAACTGAGGGTTTGAATCATGCTCACATACCTCTTTGCTATTACCTGGTACCCTCATTCAGGTAGGATGTTGGATTTTGGGGAAGCATCTTGATAGTCAGAAGGTCTTTGTTTTGTATAGTCCCTTAAGTTATTCCCAATTATCTTTTTCCTTCCTTCTTTCCTTCCTTCCTTCTTTCCTTCCTTCCTTCCTTCCTTCCTTCCTTCCTTCTTTCCTTCCTTCCTTTCTTTCCTTTTCTTTCTTTCTTCCTTTCTTCCCTTCTTCCTTTCTTTCTTTTGCTATTTCTTTCTTTCTTTTTCTTTTACTGTTTCTTTCTTTCTTTCTTTCTAAAATGAATCATCATGAGATATATAGTTTCAAAGTTGTTCTTGACTGAGTTTCAGTAATACAATGTTCCAATACCCATCCTTTTATAAGTGTACATTTCCCACCAACAATGTACCCAGTTTCTCTCCTGCCACCCCCTACCCCTAGCCTGCCTCTGTGCCTATATGGAAGACACTTTCCTTCTTATTCTGCCTCTCTCCTCTCCTCCTTTCCTCTCCCTCCCTCCCTCTCTCTCTCCCTCTTTCTCTCTCTCCCTCTTTCCTCTCTCTCTCTTCTCTCTCTCATCCCCAGTTATCTTTATGACAAACTAATGACTGATTTCCCACAACTGAGATAGTTGATGTTCACATAAATGAAATGAGTCCTTGTATTAGCTCATAGAATCCAGAGACTCCATAAATGGTGCTGTGTAATCACAACCTGATGTGGCCAAGAAAACATGTTTCCAAGGTAGTGCATCAAATGAGTATTGACAGGAGGGGAAGAGCCGGCCTTGGTCCTATCTTCTGGGGCAGCTCGAGTGAGTGTGCCAAGAGCTGAGCTCCACTGAGCCCAGGTCATGGCCCTGGTGGGGAGAGCAGAGTGTCCCTGTCAGAATTGTCTGCTTTGTGCACGACCTTCAGGGCTTTGAGGAAATGACCTTTCCCAAAGAAAAAGGCCATTCAGCCTCTCTGGAAAGACTCGCTGCCTAACTCATTGCTTTGTTCTCAGTGGGCGTTTGGCGTGACCATGTGGGAGATAGCCACACGGGGAATGACTCCCTACCCTGGAGTCCAGAACCACGAGATGTATGACTACCTTCTCCACGGCCACAGGCTGAAGCAGCCTGAGGACTGCCTGGATGAGCTGTAAGTGAGCCTGCCCGGGTCATTGGGCACTCAGCAAAGGGCATGGGGCGGGGCCACTCGGAGCCTGCAGCGGGCAGTCACTGCACCTGTCCCTGGCCCCAGCTTCCCATAGGGAGATGGTCATGGCAGAATAGCTGATGGCTTCCCAGTACTGTGTCTCTAAGCCGTTTCTCCACTGTGGTCCCTCAGTGAACATTCCCCCACCGTGGAATATCTTCGTGGGATCTCTCAGGCCAGCTGATGTATGCTGCTCTGCTGCCCTTGGAACTTGAGTGATCGCTACCCGCCCCCACTCCAGGAATAACCTTTCTGGATAGAACATTGCAGACTCACCCATCATAGTCATATCTTTAATCAGGACATTTAAAAACCAGAGCCTGAACATTTGACATCAGCTAGTCAGGAAAATCACTGGAAAATGTTCCAGCCAGGCAATCCCTCAGCCCTGTTTGTGTCTAGAGACTGCAATCCAGAGATATATGTTTTAGAATGTTCCTGGAGGAACTGGAGAGATAGTACGTTGCATTGCGTTGCACATAGCTGACCCTGGTTCCATCCCCAACACCACATACAGTTCTCTGAGCACTACCAAAGGGTGGTGTTACAAATAGACACAATACAACGTCTAAAACTTTAGATACTCCTTAAGTTTAACAGAATGGAGGTAACAAAAAGTGTACTTGAAAATCAATCTTCTCCATTACTATCCTCTAACAAAGAAGAATAAGTAGGCTCGAAAATAAATAATCTCCATTCCTATTCTCCTCCCCCACATTTTTTTTTGGGGTCACACCCAGCGATGCTCAGGGGTTACTCCTGGCTCTGCGCTCAGGAATTACCCCTGGTGGTGCTTGAGGGACCATATGGGTTGCCGGGGATTGAACCTGGGTCAGTCATGTGCAAGGCAAACACCCTACCTGCTGTGTTATCGCTCCAACCCTCCTCTCCCACATTTTATCTTTTTAGGTATCCTCCCAGTGAGGCTTATTTCCCTTTTATAAAAGTCCTTTTAGGGGCTGGCGCAATAGCACAGTGGATAGGGCATTTGCCTTGCACGCAGCCAACATGACCGACACAGGTTCGATTCCCAGCACCCCATATGGTCCCCTGAGCACCGCCAGGAGCAATTCCTGAGTGTACAAGCCAGGAGTAACCCCTGAGCATCGCCAGGTATGACCCAAAAAAAGCAAAAATAAATAAATAAATAAAAATAAAAGTCCTTTTAGTGTCTCTTTGAGAACCTGTTTATTGTTGGTGAATTCCTATCACTATTGTTTATCTAAAGAAAAGGTCCTTATTACTCTTCTGGTTTTGTTTTGTCTTTTGTTTTTGTTTTTGGGTCACACCCCGCAATGCTCAGCAGTTACTCCTAGCTCTGCACTCAGAAATTAACTCCTGGCAGTGCTCGGGGAACCATATGAGATGCCGGGGATCAAACCTCTGTTAGCCATGTTCAAGGCAAGTGCCCTACCATCTGTGATATCTCTTCCACCACTCTATTTCTCCTCAACCCTGAATGATAGCCTAGCTAGGGGGAGAGTTCTTGTTGCAGCTCTTTTCCACTCAGCCCATCACACAGGTCAGTCCACTCCTCTCTGACCTGTTTCCGAGGACAAACCTGCTGCCAGTCTTCCTTGGCCTCAGTCTCTGTGACTCTTTGCTTTCACTGCTTTTCGTAGTCTCTCTTTACCTTTGACTTTCGTCATTTCAATTATGTCTTGGGGAGTGTCTGTTTTGTTTCTATTTGTTGGCAACTCTTGGAATTTCCAGAACCTGAAGGCCTGACTCCTTTCCTGCCTTGGAAAAGTTCTTAGCTATTATTTTTGCAAGTAAGAATTCTGTTCCTGGGCTGGAGAGCTAGCACTGGAGGTTAAGGCTCTTGCCTTGATCTGCCTGCATGGTCTCCTTATGCCCCTTCCTATAAAAGCTTTGTTCATCAGGGTTTCAGGCAACTTTCGTGTAGATAAATAAAAGTTTCAGTATAGATTTGCTGTGGTTGCTGGAGTCAGTAAACCAAATTCTCCTGTTCAGACTTCTGGACTCCAGCTCACCTCCATGGTGGATTTTCAAGGCAATAATTTTTTTTTTAAAGCAAAACAACTGCTTTTATTTAGAGATATAAAGAACAGGAGGGAGAAAGAGAGTAACTTGTTTAAGAGAGAATTTGAGCTTCTCCAGAGGCAGAGAGAGCTGAGGGTCCACATCTTAAGAGGGGAGATGAGGGTGACCTATACTTGGGCAACCTATGCCTGGCAACATGGGTACAGGCAGCATAGGCTGGCAATGTATGTGCACTCTTCCTTTGTCCATGTTAGTTCATACACACTTTTCTCCAACTGCCCCAATGTGAGGCTTCTCACCTAGGTAAACTGCTGGGTGCTTAAGGCAATAATGTTTGTTTCTGAAAAGAGGATGCAACTTCAGTCAGACAATAGCAGAGGAAGTGTCTTTTGCCTTTCCCTTTTGCCTTCCCCTGTGTTCTGAAAGGCGTGCATTTTTGCAGTGATTATCCTGAGTGCTTTGGTTTAAGTTTAAACTGTGTCACATTGCGGGTTTTAAATGCTTCACACAGAACCCAAGTAGAGAATGCTGAATCTGTCTGCTGTGAAAGTTGCAGAGTCAGCGTCGGCTTGTGGGTGGGGAAGTTCTGGTCCCCACATGCCTGGCTGGCTTCTGCACTTCTGGCTTACAGAGGCTCTGGTAAAAGTAATTTCTGCCTCAATTCCCACCCTTCTGGGGGGCTGTTGGTCAGCACTTCCCAGAGGTGAGGCTCGTTCCATATCTGCAGCATTTTCATCCAGAATCAAAACAGGTACTTAGGAGCTTCTCATCTGTATTTCGTGTCCTTCACTGGGATGAATTCACACCCATATTTAATTGCCCTTTAGTCCTTCTAGTTTTATTTTGATTGATCTTTGGCTTTGGGGCTATACCCAGCTGTGCTCAGGGCTGACTCCTGGCTCCGTGCTCAGATCACTACTGGTGGGGCTCAGGGAATCATCTGACGTGCCAGGATCAAACCTGGGTTTCTGAGTGCAAGGTCAGCTCCTGCTTGCGATTGTTGAATTTATAAATCCTCCCATTTCTCACCTAGACAGGTCCTCTCACTAGCTTCTTGACCTACATCTGTGAACCACCCTTTTAATGGATAGGTCTATGCTCACCATGTCTTTGAAACTCAAATTTCAGACCAGCAAGATAGCTTGAAGAGCCAATGTGCTTGTCTTGCATGTGCCAGGCCCCAAGTTTGGTTCCTGGCACCACATGGCCCCTTGAGGACAGCAGGATGTCACTCTGGGGCCCCCTGAGCCCTACTTAGGAGCTTCATCCCTAAAAATCACATTTTTACTTCCATATATTTAATACAGCATTGAGGGGAAAATAAATTTTGAAGCAGTTTTGCTACCATGCAATGTTGTTTTTAAAAACTGTTTAGGATTGGAATGATAGTACAGCAGGTAAAGCCCTTGCCTTGCACTTGGTTAACCCAGGTTCTATCCCGGCATCCCATATGGTACCCCAAAAATGCCAGGAGTGATCCCTGAGTTCTGAGCTAGTAGTAAGCCCTGAGCACTATCAAGTGTGGACCAGAAAACAAAAGTAAAAACAATTTAAAAAGATTATTAAATGCTTTTTTAAAAGATTATTTAATGCTTTCTCCTGAAACCTAGAAAATTTGCAAATAAATTAGGAAGCACTGACCCTTGAAGTAATAAAAGGACAGTGTGTATCTAAGAATTTCTCGCAGGTCATCTCCAATTGCAAACAATCAAGGCTTTTGTGGGAAAAGGGAAGTCATACAAATTGATTTATATCATGAAAAACCTCAAAAATTAGAAACCAAAACTATTTCCCAAGCCTCAGTAACCATCAAGTGAAAATAAAACAGTAAGTAAGAGGTTCTGGGCCTGAAGGCCATGTGAAGGGTTGTCTCACCAGGAGGAGCCCCTGTTAGTATCATCTCAATGTCTCCTGTTCTTTTCTGTCCCTGTGGACCTGACTTTGCAAGTCTCCACTTTCCAGAAGTATGTGTAAGGGTTGACAGAGGCCAAAAAAGTATCAGAGTTTTTAAAAATATGGACTGTTACACACCTACAGGAAGGAAATCTGCACATTGTATATGAAGCATCCCATTAGCAGAACCAGCCTTAGGATTTGCTAGCTGTAATCAAGTGCACAGATGAGAATTCCTACTTATGCTCCTCAGATACCAGCCATCAGGTGATTTCAAAGCAGCTTGTTTTCTTGTCCAATGATAAGCGTATCAGTTTCTGAAAACAGGAAAGATGGTCGTGAGGTGATAGGGTTCACTCAATCTCAGTCTAAAATCATTTCTAGTTTAGGTGTCTCCATTCTACTGTCTTGGTACAAATAGCGCTCCGTAATCATTTTTCATCACATTTCTAAACAACCAGAATAGAGAAATCACTTGGAAAGAGGACTGCCCCTCCAGAACCCCTGAGTAGAGGGGTCAGGAGATGCTGCTGAACAGAATACTGAGTGATATCCTTATGCCAGTTCTTATTGTTATTACAAAGTAACAATGGGGACTCTTGAGAGAATTGGATACAGTGACACAGACACTTTATCTTTCCCTTCTCCTCACACCCAATTCTCCTAAGCCATTACTCTAGGGCCTTCCTAATGACAAACCCAACCCGAAGGTAGAGAATAGGAGTTGGCATATTTTCTTCAATAAAGTGCCAAACGGTAGCTATTCTTGGTTTTGCAAGCCACAGGGTCTCTGAAACAACTAATTAGCTTTGTTGTGTGTAGCCCCAAGCAATGTGTGAGCAAATAAATGTATTCCAATAAAAATTCAAATAAATGTGTTACAATAAAACTTCATTCACAAAATTAACAGCAGACCAGATTTGACCCATGGACCATAGTTTGCCAACCTGTGATATAAAGATACAGATCTGAAATACTCCTTCTTCGCAAAGTTGGATGTAATTGTCCCATGTCCTCTCCTCCTGCAGACAGAAGCACATTTTTTTCTTTTTGAGTCACACCCAGTGATGCTCAGGGGTTACTCCTGGCTCTGCACTCAGGAATTACCCCTGGTGGTACTTCGGGGGACCATATGGGATGCTGGGAATCAAACCCAGGTCATCCGCGTGCAAGGCAAATGCTCTACCCGCTATGCTATCGCTCCAGCCCACTTATCACATACCTGTGGAACATTTTTAAATGTTGAACAAAGATTTTAGCAAAGAAACATCCAGAAGCTTCCCCTATAGTGGAACTAGTATAGACTGATAAGTGGTTAAAAAAAAATTAAAGGTTGTGGGGGCTGGAGAGATAGCACAGCAGGTAGGGCGTTTGCCTTGCACGCGGCCGACCTGGCTTAGATTCCCAGCATCCCATATGGTCCCCTGAGCACCACCAGGAGCAACTCCTGAGTGCAGAGCCAGGAGTAACCCCTATGCATCACCAGGTGTGACCCAAAAAAGCAAAAAAAAAAAATTAAAGGTTGTATTAAAATAGGGGCTGTGGTCAAAGAGAGAATATGGTGGGGAGGCTGCTTGACATGCACATGGCTTACCCAGGTTCAATCCCTGGCATCACATACGGTTCTCCAAGCCCTTCGCGAGTGATCCCTGAATGCAGAGCCAGGAGTAAGATCTGAGCAGGTGTGGCCCAAGACCCCCAGAATTAAATGAATGCAACAGGGCCTGGATTGCCCACAGGGCCTGGTTGTTGTGCCAGTAGGTGACTCCCTCTCCTTTCCTTGTAGGTATGAAATAATGTACTCCTGCTGGAGAGCGGAGCCCTTGGAACGGCCCTCCTTCTCCACCTTGAGGATACAGCTAGAAAAGTTCTTAGAAAGTTTGCCTGAGGTTCAGGACAAAGCCGACATTATTTACATCAACACTCAGTTTCCAGAGAGCGGTGAAGAAAGTCCTGACAGCACGGAGTTTACGCAGCTGGACATGGACATTGATCCGGACTCCATCATTGCTTCTTGCACCCCCAGTGCCACTGTCAGCCTGGTCACGGCAGAAGTTCATGAGAGCAGACCTCATGAAGAAGAAGAAAGATACATCCTGAATGGGGCCGGTGAGGAGCAGGATGAGCCAACAGCGGTCGCCCCTGCCATGAGTACTGAGGGAAAGAAGGGTGTTCTACCGGAGGACAGACCCCTAAGGAGTGGGGCCCCCTGGTCCCAGACCAGCACGTTGCCGGTGGGGAGTCCATCTCCAGAGGAACTTTTGCTTGTTGAGGACTCCTTGGAAGAATCAGAGGACCCCATGTGAGGGGAGCTGAGAGGCATTCCCAGGCCTGGGAGAGTTTCAGCATTAGGAGAACACATGTGCATGCCATGATTTGGGTCTTTGTCTTCCTTACCAAGTCAGCACCTTGACCCAAGGTGAATGTTGTCAAGTCATCAATCATTAAAAACACACAATAAGCGCTGGAAGGGTACTACAGTGGGCAGAGAGTTTGCCTTGCACATGGACAGGTTTGATCTTCGCTCCACGTATGGTGTCTGAGCCCTGCCAGATGTGATTCCTGAGTACAGAGCCAAGAGTCAGCCCTGAGCACAGCCAGCTGTGGCCCCCAAACAAACAAACAAAACTAAATAAAAGCACACAATATATTTATTTAAAAAGAAAAGTATATGGATGTATATGGTTGAAAGAGACAGATTTTATATTTTAATAAAAGATGCTGTATTCTATTGCCCTTACCTTGCAGCTTTTAAAATGGAAGCTGGAACACCTTTATCATGACAGTTCCTCAAGGTTAACACTTGCAGAGTCGATGTTGTATTTATTTTTGTAAGAAACTTTTCTTTTGTAAAGTTGTAAAATAAGTTGTAAAAAAGATGTATATTCGTAAAGTGAAATACCATATCTGACTTTGCTCCTGAATCTTAGGAAAAGTCTGAGATGTCTGTCTGAATTCTATGTTTGTAAAATGATTCCTGTAATATTTAAGGTTTCATTTAAGGTTTGTTCTTCAATGTGACTTCCAAATAAAACATAACTGATGACAAATATGTTTTACTTATCGGGCCCCTTGGAAAAACAGTGGTCGTTGCAGCTTGGCACCTTTGCAGAGGAATTCCTTCAACACCGGGCCCTTGATGTGTCTCCCAACTATCATGTTTTCTTTTTTCTTTTCTTTTTTTTTCCTTTTTGGGCCACACCCAGCTATGCACAGGGGTTACTCCTGGCTCTGCACTCAGGAATCACTCCTGGCGGTGCTCGGGGGACCATATGGGATGCTGGGAATCGAACCTGGGTCGACTGCGTGCAAGGCAAATGCCCTACCCGCTGTGCTATTGCTCCAGCCCCCCAACTGTCATGTTTTCCATAGAGACATGCAAAAGCCACCCCAGAGAAACCAAAGATGAAGAACAAAAGTTATAAAAGGCTCAAAGAGCACAAGTCTGCATGGCGGGTTCACAGTTAACTGTGGGAGAGAGAGTTCCAGAGACAGGGAAGCCCCCGTCTGTGTGGGAGGCAAAGCCCAGGTGGGGGAGGCCAGGCAGTGAGTGGGGACATCTGAGTTTCCATCCTTAACTCACTTTTTTGGGGGGGCTTTTTTGATCACACCCAGCGATGCTCAGGGATTACTCTTAGCTCTACACTCAGAAATTACTCCTGATGATACTCAGGGGACCATATGGGATGCCAGGGATTGACGCTGGGTCAACCACACTCAAGGCAAACTTCCTACCTGCTGTTCTATTACTCCAGTCCAACTCTGTGACATCTTAGCCGCCATTGCCTTTGAGCACTTGACTGTCCTGTTTAATCTCTACCTCATTACTCTTGGCACCAGTTCCATCCCAGTGGAAGAGCCAGGGATGCCCAAGCAGGGAAGGCTGCATACCCAGCTGTGGCCCACAGCTAGAGAGGGCTGGGGAGGGAAGTAAGTAAGTAAAAGTAAAGGCCCTCCCGTTGATCATCGATTTGCTCGAGCGGGCCCAGTAACGTCTCCATTGGAGACTTTGTTGTTACTGTGTCTGGCATATCGAATACGTCACGGGGAGCTTGCCAGGCTCTGCCGTGCGGGTGAGATACTCTCGGTAGCTTGCCGGGCTCTCCGAGAGGGGCGGAGGAATCGAACTCGGGTCGGCCATGTTGGCTGCGTGCAAGGCAAACGCCTTACCGCTGTGCTATCGCTCCAGAAACCGCTCTGACACTGATTTGAAGATCTGCAACAGAATTCTAGATTTGGGGGGAGGAGTCATTCCCCAGTGCTCACAGGTCACCCTGGTAATTCAGGGAAACCAGGCAGTGTCAGGGATCAAGCCTCAGCCTCCTCTATGCAAAGTGTGTGCTCCAACCCACAGAGTTCTCTCTCTGGCCCTAGACTTTGGGATTTTAGCGAATAAACGTGTAAAGAACACTTGCTTAGTTCATCGTTAAGACAACCACACTGTTACATGCCTTTCACAGAGGGCCAGGTGAGGCAGGAAGAGACTCATTCACTCTGCTAGTAGGTGCAGTCAGATGATGGATTGGTTTCTCTCAGCACTCAGGGCAGCCATACAAGACCCAGGGCCACTGACATCCTCAGGTCTTTGCTCCTGTTCTTCTGAAATGCTCCTTAGTACAAACTTCATATGGATTTGAAAAGAACCTGCACTGCATGAGAAAGGCCAACAGCATATCTTAACAAGGAAAGAGAAAGGTGTTAAGTGCTAGAAGGATAACTTCTACCAGGTTGTTAAAATTTTTTACACCTCCTCATTCATTTTCTTATTGGTGGAGACTCAAAATTTTGAATAATCATTGCTTTGCCTTGATGTGGTTTGTTCACTCAAATCATATATGTGTGGTTTATGTATATATAAAACCATGTATATGTGTATAGATATGTATGTATATATATATGTAAGTATAGGGGGTTTTTATAGACAAAATCTTTAATTCTGATGAATTGACCACTTGTTGTTCCCTTACTGTGTTTTCTTTTTAAATCTCTCATATGGGAGAGATCTCTAGTGCATTTGGGTAAGATTTATCCTAACCTTGAAGAAACTATGGTGGTGTGGGAGCTGGAATCGCAGTTCTTAAGGGAAAACCTAGCAAAAGTTGCACTGAAAATATAAAGTATATAGAAGTATAGCTTATATATATTTTTATCTATATATAAAAGTATAATAAAATCTGCCAAGCCAAATAAATAATTATGAAAACTGAGCAACTTAGGCTGGAGAGATAGTACAAGAATTAAGGTGCTTGCCTTGTATGCAGCTGAGCCCAGTTCAAGTAATTTTCTAATTTTAACTATATGATGTAAATAAATATGAATCGATTATCAAGCTGTTACTACAAAATTGTAGGCCAGAGTGGGTCCTTAAATTCTACCTGTAAAATTAGCATCAAAACTCCCAGTATTCAAGATGTGAAGGTTTCTTTGTGGTAAGGGTTGAGTAGTTAGTCCTAGGTTTCTCCATGAAGTCCAGGTCTCCCTCTCTCTTTCACCCATAAATGCTGTCACTCATCCTGTCCCTTCACTTTCCTCTCCTCTTTAAGTACAGCATTACTTGTCCCTTGTACAGCTTTCCATGCTATGGCATCCCCAGCCCCCAGCTGTCTGTAGGCTGTGTCCTCCGCTGTCCTGCTCTAATGTCTGCTGTCGTGCATGTGGCCTGTCGCTGGGCTCTTTGCCTATTTCTCAAGTCCCATAGCCCAGTGGCTCTTTGTCCCTTTTGCTTTCTTTGTTCTCAGGCCGCATGGGTGAGAACTGCTGCTTTCCTGACATACCTCTCTCCTGGCAAATTCAGGGTCAAAGCGCACATTGCCTGACCTGGGTGCCTTTGGCTAGGCATGCTGTCTTCCCATACATCTTTATGAAAAGCGAGCAGCCCAGATATCCAAGTCAGTTTCTCCAGGTGGAAAAACTGGCTGGAAAGCCCCAATCAGTTCTACTGGAGGAATTCAAGTTGGCAAGTTTGGTGTCTGACTTTCCTTGGGCCATCATCAAATATGGCAGAAAAGTGGCTTCACTCAGCCCCCAGTCACACACACACAGCACCACCATGAGCAGCATCTTCTCTCTCCAGGAGAAGAGAATTTCCAAAACTTAAACACTTCTGTCTCCTGGCAGGGAACTGCGAAACCTTGGTCTGCATCTTCGTCTCCTTTGAATATTCAAAGGTTAGGAAAGAGCTATTCAGAGGGGGCCACACTGGGTGAACTCTTGCATTAGTTTCTAAACATGAACTGGAAACTCAAATTAACTTGTAAGCAGAATTTTCTGGACAAAGAGAGAGCGAAAGCAGGAAGAAACAAGTCAGGTCATTGTCAAGTGGAGAGGTCAAAAAGACAATGGAAATAAATATCACAAATAACCTGTCACTGCTGGCTTTCTTCTCTCTTTTTTTCTTTTTTCCTCTTTGCTTCCTTCTTGTCTTTCAGCTTTATTTCTTTTTTTATCTCTTTTATTGTTTCATTTGTTGATTTATTTTGTTAATTCATTCCCTTCTCCCTTTTCCCTTTCCCTTTTTCTATTTCCATTTTCTTTCTTCCTTCTTCCTCACTTTCATTTCTCTCCTTGATTCTTTCTCTTCTTTCTTCCTTCCTGTTATCCCTTCTCCTCCTGTCTCCAACGTCTCTTCTCTTCCTTTTCCTTCCTTCCCCTCCCCCCCCCCCCACTCTTCTCTCCTCTCCTTCATTCTCCCTGGTCTTTCTGAGTAGAAAGAAACAAGGACCAGGGCCCCATTATTCAGTGACACCACAAACACCATAAACAACAAAGCTTGCACAAGCTCCAACCTGTAATGACCTCTCCTTGGCCAGGTGGCTTGTCTCTCCTGGTGCCTGAATTTGTGAGTATAAAGACGGCAGCACCTTCCCCTGTAATCCCCTGAGTTATTGTGTAGGAAGAGAAGGAAGCTCATGTTTTGTATTTCCCAATGCTTTTCCCAACTAGAAGTACCTCCCAACTTCATTTCTTTCTTTCTTTTTTTATTCTTTTTTTTTAGGGGACAAGGATTGCTACACCCAGTGGTGCTCATGGACTAACTCCTGGCTCTACACTCAGGGATCATTCCTGGCAGTGCTCAGGGGTCTATATGGTATGCCACGGAATGAAGCCGGGTTGACTGCATGCAAGGCAAGGCCCCTACCCACTGTACCATCTTTCCAGATCCTTAATGTCATTTCTTCTGTAGTGCCAGCTTATCATTTATCACATTAGGGAACACTTTCCTGCTTGTATTATCTACTGGCTCCCTCTAAAATAGTAACTGAAAAATAAAAATAATTTCATTTTTGCCTGTGATGCATGCTGTTGAGGAAGTTGGTGGAGTGGAGAAAATTGGCCTCATCCTTCACCTCAAGTGGCTATTGGGTCCAGAGGTGGCATCTCCTTGAGGAACTTGTTCTTATCCAGAGTTTAGTTGCCACTGAATCTCAGTGCTCACAGAGGAGTAATGACAAGCAGGGTTGGCTTAAGGGACAAGATCTGGGGACACAATGTGGGTCAGAGTGTCCTTCTGACACTGTCCCCCTGGCCAAGCAGGGGGACACTTTCTGGTCTCTGCTCAGGAAGTGGCCAAATCACTGCTTCCTATCTTACAAATCACATTGATTCTGGCTAGGCTAGTCTTAACTCCTACAAGTCAAGACCTTTGTAACTTCTCTTGGTCAACAGCAAGAGCAAGTTGGCTGAGTCAATGGAAAAATGACCCCAAAATAAATCAGATGTTGTCAGCAACTTAACTTCTCTAAAGACATTTTGTTACCTTGTGTGACAAAGGGGAAAATGGGAAGTTTCATTTTCCCTGAATGATCAGTTCAGCAATGCACATTTGTATTGAATTGAGAAGGTATTGATCCTCTTCCAAACCTTTCGAGAGAACAGAAGTAAATGGCCATAGAGGTATCTTTTTTATAAAGCATGTCGAATTTACTTAACTTAGTGGTATTTAAATATAATTATTTCTAGATACTATAACCTAAAGACAACTGTTTTTTTTTTTGTTTTTTTTTTTGCTTTTTGGGTCACACCCGCCAATGCACAGGGG